ACGGGTGGACCTGGGATCTGATTCTCTAAGATCAGGGCTCTTCACCGTTGGCTGCCGATTTGCTAAGTTTCCTGAAAAACAAAACAAAACAAAAAAAATCCTTTGGGGGAACATGGTGTAGCTTAGGTTGTGGGGTGGCTGTTGGAATAGGGGCCTAGGAACTCTTTTCCCTGAGGGGACCACACAGGGAAAAGAGAGGTAGGGGATAGAGACTCCTTAGAAGCCCCTGTAAGCTGTGACTCTGGTGGCCGTCATGAAAGGGTTATCCCTTCACATTCGATATTTGCAAAAATGTGGGTTCTTTCAGATTCCAAAACTCATTTCCATGACAAAACTCTTGGGAAGAGAAGATGAAGGCCTGGCTTTTGCAGAACAATCTTCCAGCTGTAATGAGGACTGAAGATGGCAATGGGAAAAGGAATTATAATTAGAATATGAAATGGGGAAAATTAATCTATTCCAGTCACTGGTAAGAGGATGTTCTCCTGGCGTTCATGGAAATTCTTAAGCTGTTGTTTCTTCCTACATTTTTTTTTTCTCACATTTAAAGCGTAGGGAAGGCTGTGTGGTGTGAAAAAGGATTTTTGACTAAGAAACTGATAAATTGTGAAATATGCATTGAATTTAAGTTCATGTGCATCTTTGCTTTGTATGTCTATGCACATGCAGTGTTTGTGCTCACATTTATGTGACTTACTTTAAGTGGCTGCAGATGCATGGCATATTTATACACATATGGGCACACCCTGCTTTCCTCTGTGTGCCTGCTGGGGTTATTGTGTACCCAGTTGTATAAGGGTCTCTGATACGTGCACACTCACACTTGTGCTGTGTGTGCATTGGTTTGTGTTACCCGTGGACGTGGTACATGGGTGAGTTGAATGCTTCCGTGTTGAAGGCTGTGCTTGTGTGACGTGGGCTTGTGGTGCATATGTGTGCTGCCCACGCTGTGCACATGGTGTGCATCATATACCTTTTTCACACTCAGTGTATGCACTGCAGTGGTGTAGATGTGGCTGTTTTTGATGTTGTCTGTACGCATGTGGAGGAGGAGATAGCCCTGCTGTGTCTGAGGGCAGAGGTGACTTTGTGACTTCTCCCCTTGACTTCCAAGTTCATCTCCCCAGAAAGGGTCCCAAATGAGTAGGGGCTGAGGGGGCAAGCCCCAGGCCCGAGAGCCACAGAAGCAAAGCCAGGGGGAGCCTGAGAACCCTCAGTGTCCCCCAACTACTTCTCTATTCCCTCCAGTGGTTCCAGTGTGGTGGAGCCCTGGCAGAGGTGGGCAGAGAACAGGCCTCCTCGCCTCCTCAGGGCTTCTTGGCTGCTTGGCAGCTGGTCCTGAGCCCAGCAGGCTCCAGGGCACCATGCAAGGTGCCCAGGGGTAACTGAACTGAGGAGACCCAGGCCCTGCCTTGGGAACCTCTGCCAACTTCTCAAGTGCCTCTTGAAAGCCAGAAGTAAGCTTTATTCCAGCACGCGGCAGCTCTTTCTTAGACACTGGTTGAATAAAGGAGTGAATGAATAAGACAGGCTCTGGTGACCTCATGGAACTCCACTGCCCTCCCCCTCGCCTGCCCCTAACACGCTCATGTTGGAGACCAGGCCCCTTGCCCTACCTCTCCAGTACCATTCCCACCACTCTCTGTGGGTGATTCCTCCTTCTCCTGAACCTCTAACACACTTGCCAAGCACCTGTTATGCGCAGGCCCCAGGCAGACTATTGATGATATAGTAGGATCTAGAAAAGCATTGGTCCCTGCTGTGAATGCACTTGCAGCTAGTGGGACAGACCAAGCAGAAGAAATCCAACAAAGGTCTCCTAAATCCCATCTCTCACCAGCTGTGTCATCTTGGACCACTACTTACCCTCTCTCCACCGGTTTCCTTGGTCTTAGCAGGGAAAAGAATACTTTCCTCATTGGGTCATTGTGAGAATTAAATGAGGTCTTTTATGTAAAGCATTTTGCTCAGTGCCAGGATTATTCATTCAGTCACCAAATATTTATTGGTTGCCTACTGCACGTATCAGGGAATGAAGCAGATGGTGGCCGCTGCCTTGTGGTGGCTCTGTTCTCGCCAGCAACTGATAAATGGTGACCATTCAAAGGTTTTTTGGATATCTTTCCCTGTGTTTCTTACGCATATTTCTATACCATACTGTTTGATTACTGTTGCTTTATAAAATGTTTCAAACACTTCATTAAACTTAATGCTCCTCCATTTCCAATTCTTTCTATTTGGGTCTACATAAAAGTTACATGTGGTTTATTAAAAGTTTTACTTTTGTCAAAATAATCAATGACCATGGTCACACATCAAGTCACGTAGCCAGGAGCTTTTACTGAAAGCTCCCCTCCCCTACCCAATTTATAGCCCCATCCCTAATGTCAGCCTCTGCCAGGCTCTGGGAGATTTGGAGATGACCAGGACACAGTTCCAGCCTCCGTGTTGCTCCCACTCTGGGACAGATGACAAGTGTGGAGATAGTCTATTCTGTAAGAGGAATAGCCAGAGGAGATGAGAGTATGGCAGGCCTCCTGGAGGAGGCAGCCTCTGAGCAGGGTCTTGCAGCATGAGCTCTGGATGCAGTGTGGTAGATGGAGTCCTGCATTTGGGGTCAGTGCCCAAAGTCTAGGCATGAAATATCCTTGTCTTTTAATCATCCAGCAGTCAGTGTGGGACTCTCCCTGTCCCTGTTCTGGGGAGGCTCTTTGGTGCAACCATCAACCCAACTGCCTAGATGGGAAGATAGGCCTGGTCAGAGGCAATCTGAATGTGGTAGTGGCTGATTTATTTACTTATTCGACAAACATATATTGAGTACCTTCTCTGTGCCAGGCACTGTTCTAGAAGCTTAGGAGGCATCAAGGTACAAATAGACAAAGGTCCCTGATTCCTGGGAGCCTCCATTTTAGTAGGAGGACTCTAACTGTAAGCAATGAATACAGCAAATATAGAGAATGCTAGAAGGTAACAGTGGCTATGGAACAAAGACCAAGGGAAAGCAGGGTAAAGGCATCAGGAATGGTGGTAGAAAGGGTGGTGGGCTCTTAGCCCACAAGGGCTGGGGACGGGCGTCTGAGCCAGTTGTCAGGCAAAGCTTCTCTGAGTGAAAGGGGCTGGGTAAACTGACATTCACATGGTTGCGGCATGTGGATTTCTACAGCCTCTGTGAGGGCCCTGGGTGATGTCTGTCTAAATTTCAAATGTGCATACGGTCAGACCCAGCAATTATACACATAAATCCTACAGATAAACTCACACCCATGCTCAATGACGGATGCACAAAAATATTTATGGGAGCAATATTGGGATAGCAAAAGACTAGCAATGATGCAACTACCCGTGTGCTCAGCTAGTTAAATGTATGTGTTATATCCATAGTGTGGAATCCTGGGTACAGAAGGAAGAATTATGTTCTGATATAAAACATTTTCTATGATGTGTTGCTAAGAGAAAAAGGAAGTGCAGAACGGTATAGCATGCTGTCATGAGTAGAATAAATGACTCTAAAATGTGTATACGTAGACGGTCTTTGAAAGGATTTAAAAAAGCTGGTAGACATTGCCTCTGGAGAAGGACAGTGGATGGCTGGATGGGGTAGTGTTGCTTTTTGTATTCTTGGAATTTTGAGCTATGTGAATATATCTTAACACAGAAATGGTTCAATTAAAATGAAATGGCTGTTTGCTATTGGTGCCCCACCCAGAACCCTTTCCCGACCCGCACAGACATCTCCCATCTGCCTTGAGCTCGGGCTGCCTGCACATGGCTCACAACCAGTACAGTTCCCTGAAGGATTGTCCTTGGACAATTGGGGACCCCCTTGCTCAGAAGGTTATGCCTCCACATGTCCCCTAAGGGTAGCCCATGGCCAGTGACTTCCTAACCTGGGCTACAGCAGCCTCCCCTTGCTTCGTGTTGGAACTAAAACACTGAAGTACAATTCGTGCCACAGAGCTCCCCACTGGAAGAGGCTGAGGGAAGTCTTCAGCCAAGACCACATCCTTGCTTAGCTGCATCCGCTCCTGTCCGGCTTGCCTCCCAGGCTTACAGGTTATTCCCAAGGAGTACTGCCTTAATTACCACATGCATCTGAACCCTTGCTTTAGGCGCTGCTTCTAGGGAACCCTATCTAAGACACCTAGCTCAAGGGAAGGCAACTAACGAATTAAGTGCTCTCCATGATAATATGCTGAGTTAAGTGCTCTACCGTGCAACATCTTATGAAGAGGGGCCTACAGGCATCATTCTCATTTAACAGATGAGGAATCTCAGAGGTTGAGATACCAGCTTGAGACCATACTTCAGGGCAAAGAGGGAGGCAGGGGTCCCAGAGCCCACATCTCTTCCCTGCACCTGCTCCTGAATTTTAGGCTGATTTGAAAGGAACTCTTCCTGAATCCAGACTTGGCAGCTTCTCTGCACACAGGATGTAGTTCCTGTACATGTCTTTACGAGTCCTCACTGCCTATGGCCTATCATGGCCCTAGGGGCTGGGATGGCATAGGCGATGGGGCAAAACCACTCAGAATGGCAGACTCAGAGGGCATGTCTGGGGCAGGCTGTCCTGATCCCAAGGCTCTGGTGTTCTTGGCCTCCCCCAGCACATGGGATTCCAGCTTTAGCTGGTCACCTGATATCATTTTGGTCAAGGGAGGTGTTTGCATACTTCCAAGGATGGGCAGCTCAGCGCCTGACAAGGCAGCCTGCTGTGTCTATGGACAAGGTATAGAGGACAGAAAGGTTTTCCTATTTTCATTTTAAGTGTGTTTAACAGCATGAACCTGAGCACTTGAGGGCCGTGGAACAGGGGCTGCTCCTTCCATCCTAGAGGAAGCCCTACTGAAATGGAGCCTTGGGCATCTTGGGCTCTGATTTGGCTTCTGTAGCCCCCACAGTCCCTGCATTCAGTCCCCTGGCCTCCTCTGGCTGCCCCTCCTGGTGCCTTCCTGAGAGTATTTTAATCAGAGCTGCTTCTCCCTCTCTCTCTGTTCTAGCTTGATGGTGACAGTGCCTACGTGGGGATGAGTGACGGAAACCCAGAGCTCCTGTCAACCAGCCAGGTGGGTGCCCTATCCCCCCTGAATGGGGGTCTAAGCTCTGGGCTGGCTGGAGCCAAGCTGTTCCTGGGTGGAGGTGGGGGGTGCAGAGTGGGACCAGCACAACCCACTACTGTCCCCACTCTGAAAGATCAAGAATAGCAATTGAGTCTCCTTAAAAGGCATAGTCAAAGTGGGACTGTCGTGTTCTCTGTAAATCAACTACCTGGCTACTGTTGGCTTAAAATGGATTGGGAACCTGATGAAACTTGAAATGTTTTCCCCACACTCCCCATGCTTGGGGGAGCTTTGCAGCAGGAGTGAGTTGAGGTGCCTGCTGCTCCGTTCCTCTTGCCACCGCACAGCACCCATGGAGACATGTTCTAATTTGGATGCACACACGCCCATGCATAGGCATGCACTGTTCGCTGCCTGCTGGGAGTTGTTGAAGGCCACAGGGGAGGGTTGTGGACAGGGCACAAGGGAGGAGAGCAGAGGCTTCCTGAGGGCCTTGCTGGAGGCAAAGGAAGCAGAGGCTTCCTGTGCAAGGCTGTCCCAACGCCATCCCGGCCCTCTGGGGGTCAAAGATGCCAGTTGGAATCAGATTTTCCACTGAGATCCTGGCCTTTGAAAATTAATGTTTCTCTCAGCTGGGAGCATCCTCACTGTAGACTCTGATGCCACAGAGGGTCCTCGCTGCAGGTCCAGCGAGGGTCACCCTGCAGAATGTGATGCCAGGGTGGGTTCTCACTACAGGCTGGCACTCCAGGGAGGGTTCTCACTGCAGGGCAGGATCCTGGGGAAGGTTATCCCTGCAGCATGTGATGCCAGGGTGGCTCCTTACTGTAGGCCGGGGCCCCTGGGAGTCACTGCAGAATGTGATACCAGGGAGTGTTCTTTCTCACTGCAGGCATGGCATTGTGGAGGATGGTTCCCTAGGTGATGGTGCTTGCTGGGTGGGAGGGACCAGCTCAGGACACTGATTGGAGGGTTACAGCTGCTGGGAAACTTGGGAAGCTGGAGGGCAACTCTGGCCCTGGAGCTGACTTCTACCCTCTGTCTTTACCACTGGGGGACTATGGCAGTCCAAGTGGCCCCTCAGCCATCATGCTGGACACATATTTTCCAGCTGGGGAAATAGAAGCCCATTAACTCATAAATATTTATGTCCCCTATTCTGTGGCAGGTCCCATGGAGGCCATAGATGAGTAAGACATGGGCCTGTGGCCCTAGGGAGAACTACTAGTGAGAAAGACACTGTGGTTTCAGTGGGGTGTGGAAGCTCTGCTGTAGGATCGCTCCTGCTGCTGGGGCCGCCATACCATGCCCCGCTCTGGCCAGTCTCTGAGTGAGCATCACGCTGCGGCTGCAAAACTGTCTTTATGTTGCATTGGCACGCACCATGCATGCATTGACATGCAAGTGGTTATTTTGGAAGAGTCCACTGATGGCATTTAATTGTACATAATCAATTGAAATGTGGTCATCTCAGCAGACCAGAGTTAGCCCTGACATCTCATCTGAGCCTTTTCACAATGTTTGGATAGTATTTTGGTAACATATTGAGCCCTGGTTTTCAGAACTATATTATGGTGAATTCTGTTCTGGAACCTACTGGAAAGCATTGGCAATGTCCTTCCACCAAGAAGGGAAAGTGGGACTCAGTGGGACTCTGTGTCTGCTCCAGGCCTGGGCAGAGGGGAGCCCAGTCCTTTGGAGAGGAGACTTGGTACAAACAAATGTCTCCCTCCCCAAACCATTAACAGTCATATCCTCAACAATTTCCCCAATACTTTGCAGCTTGCAAAGACCTTTTTCTCAATGTTTATTTCAGCTAATCTTCACAACAGCCTCGAGTATGAGTAGACATTATCGTTCAGTTCATTTATAGACGAGGCAACTGAAGATCAAGAATGTTGGCTGATTCAATCAAGGTGACTCAACCAGGGAGCATGAGAGCTGGCATTTGAACTTGTGAAGCTCACACTCAGAGCTCCACAAGCTTCCCTTGCCTTGTCACTGACTTGCCTCAGCCTAGATGTCACTTCTTCAGGGAGCGCTTTGTGACCTCCACATTAGGTCCCCTTTCCATGATTCTCATTAAATGGCACCAGGTCTTTTTAATTCTTGTTGTTTGTCACTGTGGTCATCTACTTATCTTGTGCTGACTTGGTTAATGCCTGATTTCCTCCCTAAACTGTGACCACCATGGGGAAAGGATCTGTTCTCTCTTGTCCAATGCTGTGTATTACAGTGGAGCATAGTGTCTGGAACATTGAGAGCACTCAGGAAATATTTGTGTAATGAGTGATGGTAGCCCCTGCTCTTCTCTGAACTTCAGTGTCTCTAACAGTGGAACAAGGTGGTTGGACTTCCTGAGGGTCTTTCTAAATCTTTTATGCTGTCACCAAGAGGGTCTCCCTAACTTAGGACTTTATGAAGAAGATACCGAAATTCTCTGAAGTTAATTAAATCTACCCAGTGACATGAACCAATCTTAATGTGAGCAAATTTTGCAATTGCAGTCTAGATTTCTTATAGCGTATCCATTAGTTTTTGCTGCATAACAAACACCTCAAAGCTTAGTGGCTTAAAACAACAAATGTTTATTTACTTAATGATTCAGTAGGTCCGCAGTTTGACTGGATTCAGCTGGGCGGTTGTTCTGGCCTTGCCTAGGATCACTTCAGCGGCAGCAATACACTGCCAGATCAGCTGTGGGCTGGTTGGTATGGGAGGCTCGCCTCTGCTCCACATGGTCTCTCAGCCTCCAGCGAGCTAGCTCCAGGTTGTTCACATGGTAGGAGAAGGATTCCCAGAGCAGCAAGAGCAGAAGTTATAAGATTTCTTGAGGCTTAGGCTTGAAATAAGCATGCATCTATTTCCAACACATTCTATTTGTCAAAGCTAGTCATGGGACCAGCCTAGATTCAAGGAATGGAGAAATAGCCTCTACCTCTTGATGGGAAAGGCTATAAAGTATTGTGGCCTTTTTCAAACTACCACATGTAGGAAACATAGGATATGATTCATGCTGATTTTATTTGAAAAATAACTTAGACTTTTCTGGTACCTACAGCTCCCTATAGCTCAGTGGGACCCTACTGGCTTCTAGACTTTAATGATGAAAATCCTATATATTTCCTTCCTATCTTTTCCCTGGAATGCTTATTGAACTCACACCCCCCCCCACACACACACTCTCACACCACACACACAAACACCCTCTCACAATGTGTTGTCTCATCAACTTCAGGAATTGTATTGTATCAATTACTGGATTAAGGATTGACATAAACATTTGGGTAAAATGAAGCTCTCATAGCCACTAGAGGATTCAGAGGATAAACACTCTAAATGGCAGAAAATAAGTTTTATAAATACAGTTATATCCAAGGTTTACCCAATCAGCAAATGTTTATTGGGCACCTGTTATATGCAAGGCTCTGAATATGAGTGGGAAGCCATTTATGGAAAACATTTGCTTCCAGAACATTCAATCAATTTTTTTTTTTTTGAGACATAGTCTCACTTTGTCACCCAGGCTGGAGTGCAGTGGTCCGATCTTGGCTCACTGTGACCTCCAACTCCCGGGTTCAAGTGATTTTCCTGCCTTAGCCTCCTGAGTATCTGAGATTACAGGTGCCCACCACCACACCCAACTGGGGTGTGTGCGTGTGTGTGTATGTGTTTTTTTAGTAGAGACAGGGGTTTCACCATGTTGGCCAGGCTGGTCTTGAGCTCCTGACCTCAAGTGATCCACCCACCTCGGCTTCCCAAAGTGCTGGGATTACAGATGTGAGTCACTATGCCTGGCCCAGAACATTCAAATCATTACAAACCTGCTTTATAATGTAACACTTCTCCTGAAACACCACCTTCTTTACTTAGAAACCGCAGCTGAGACAGAGGCTCCCTAGGGTATGTATTAGCTGACTGTCCCTTTTTGAAAACTTTCACAGCAGGCCTGTGGGCTTGAAGTTTCTTTTGCAAATGCATGCTCCATTGTCTGGTTTTTGCAAGTCTCCACAGAAATTTTGGCATAGCTGCTTTAGCGTCTGCAAATGATCACTACTCCCTCTCCCTCCGTGGACCTTGGATTACCTTTTACCAGACATGCCAGGGTGGCCTGAAAATGAGATCTATTTCTCAGACAGGGCTGTCTCCCCATCAGCAGCTTCAGGGGGTGGTAGACCTGGTAGAGGTCGGTTCTTCCAATTTGAGAGCAGAGTCTGTCCAGGAGTTAGGGGAATGGATATTTCCTGGTTATGTGACCCAGGAAGAGTCTCCTCCTTCCTGGGATGAGGTGAGGAGGAAAGGGAGTGGGCTTGGGACTCAGCAAACCTGGATTCAAATTCCAGCTCCTCCATGCCACAGCATGGGCCAGATTTCCTTTTGCAAGTGACAGCAGCTTCCTATCAAATGGGAGGAGTAGCGCCTGCCTCCTGGAGTGTCATGAGAAGTAAACGAGGTGTGTGTTGTGGATTCTGTCGCTGCCTCACCAGGGTCCTGCTCATCATTCAGCTGCTGTGAGTGTTGGCTGCTAACTATTCACAGCTACTCCTTCTTTGGAAAATTGGAACTGTGAACTCAGGAGAGGATGTAAGGGGAAGTCTAGAGACTGATATCCTTATCTCAAGGAGTGACCAACTTTGCAACTCCTCATGGGCTCCAGTTAATCCAGCCAGACACCAGCTGAGGCCAGATCCTTACACTGCTCCTCCCCTGTCCTTTCCTGTCTCCCTTCCTCCCTTCTTCCGAGAGCCCTCCTCCATCAAGTCACTTTCACAGGCGTCCCCCTCTCAGGCTTTACTTCAGAGGAAGCTAAACTAAGAGTATGTAAAGCACCAGAGTTTGGAAAAACCAGCTATGACTTATTTTTATTTTTATTACCATAAATAATGCTTTGGTCACACAAGAGCCTCTGGTCACCTCTTGTGCTCATTTACAACTTGGTGTTTTTGTATGCATTGTTTCCTCTGATGGGAATCCCCTAGTGTTTTTCAACCAACAAATGCCTATTT